CCCACTATTCTTGCTTTCTTCAATGGAAACCTTTTTAAGATGAAGAAACTGCAATTGGTAAAATTTTCTTCAGAATGTGCTGATTGGCTGGTTGTTCAGGCTGCAATGATGTCAATGCTTTCAGTCACTGAAGCATATGGACAAGGAATCTGATTTTTCTCTTAACCTTCCTTGCTTGTTCCAGGTCTGTACATCAACCATATAAAATCCTGGAGGCCAGCATTTTAAGGAAGCCATCAATGGCAGCCTATATAAGAGATGGGCTTGAATGATATTCACTTGCTCCTATACTGGTCTCCTCTAGATCTCAGCATGTGATGGCACAGAATGGCTTTGCTTCGCTCCAACCCTCAGCCATGCCGCATTTATTCACCTGAAACAAAGTATTGCACAACAATAATCCTCTTTGCTGTTTAATTACATTGAAATGACTCTTGGACTTGGGAACAGAAGGAAACATTGAAGCATAACAGAAGCAAGATGAACTATGAACTTTAGTTTCAGTAGCCCCATTGCTTGATTTTAGATTCTGTCTGTCCTGAGCTATAAGGAGCCCATCTTGCAATGAAGTTGAATTTTACATAATTGTAAATGATTTTGGAAGGGGGATGCTTGTTCGTGCTCAAACTTCCGCACCACACCCCATGTAATGTAATGCTATATGTTATCTATTTCCACTGACTTCCTGTGAGGTCCCCGATCCAGCCGGTTTGGCACATTTGTGGATGGAATGCGCTAGCCTTGGTTCAGCCTTAACACAAGTCTCCTATTGTATTTCATCCTTGATTTTATTAACATCTATTGTTCAAACCCTGATGAAGTGTGAGTCCTTTGATCCAAAACACATTGGCTGAATCTGTTGAGCTTGAATAGAAAATGTTTTAATGGACTTCTCAAGCAAAGATGAACATGTGAACCAGGCACTCCTTACTACACACGTGTGTGTGTGTGTGTGTGTGTGTGTGTTCCTAGAGAAAGGACCTCAGAGGGGATATCTCCAGGACACACTGCAATAACTTCCTGAAAGTGGTTCTAACCCTATCTAAAAATAATAATTGCAATCAATGGTCCTGTTTTTCCCTCACCATCTGCCCTACTACCATCATCAACCACCCAAATTCCTCTGGTCTCACCGGATGCCACTTGTATATGTAGGGGTGATATTTGTTGAAGTAGCTTGATGATTATATAGGGTGAGAAAGATTCCCCCAAAGCTCTCTCTGTGTATGTAGAGAGTATCTCTGGAATGTGGTGACAGGAGTTGGCCACATTTTCATTCTGGAATGCCGTAGAACTGGCCTCTAAGCAGGTCTGGGGTCTTGGCTGCTTTCTGCACAGCAGGTTAGTCAGCAAATAGGTCTATGGATTGTTCTCGGTCAATCATGTTCTGTACCTATAACATTCGCTGAATGTAATTACTTCCTTTTTTATATTGTCTCTGTTTTCACATTTGTACACTTTTCTGCACCATTCTAACCCCTCCTACTTCAGGTTCTACTTATTGCTTGTAATGGATGGTGCTGCTATGTGTGCAGACAAAAGGCCACTGGACTCTCCCTAATGGTGTCCTTTATATAGTACTAAGGATACAAGATATTCACACCCACATTCCTGTGATGACTTTGACAGCCATCAGTGGTTATTTTGTGGGCCTTCACTCCTCTCCATGAAAAACAGTGGTTAGCATAGGGCACAGCACATGTTGGTTCACAGATTGGTGGATTAGGTTTACACATTTGGTCTTCTAGTGTGCTGGTGTACTCCGCAATGACCTCTACTCTTTACAGAGCTCAGAGAACATCCAGACACTGTAATTTTGATGACTTTTTATGGGCCTTAATAGGCTCACTCCAGTAAAATCAAACCTTAAAGCTGGCCATACACCTATCAAATTTTTTCATCCAACCCACGGTCTGAATGAAATTTTTTTTTTTTTTACCAGATTCCTCCATTAACACAAACAGCGTTCGAGGAACCTTTCAGGTTTGTTTTGCTGTCTGGGGCTCCCTTAGAAAGATTTCCCCTCAATTCCTGTCCTGCTGACCATGTTTTGCCAGACAGGAAGTGAGGGCAATGCTGAAACAGCGCAGAGAATAAAAAAATGGAAGGTAGGCTAGGTCCCATGTCGGGTTTCTATTTCTGTTGGCAGATTTTCCTTCTATGTATTGTCTGGTGAAATATTGTCACTAGGACAGGAAGTGATGGTAAATCTCTCAATGGAGCCCTAAAAGCAGTAAAACTTACAGGGGTACCAATCCTTCCTAACCCCTTACAAAAAAAAAATGGAAACTAGCATGTCAGACCAAACCACAAAAAAAATTTTGGACCGCAGAAGCTTTTAGCCATAATGTGCTGGTATGCACCGCATATTGGCACCATATGGCAGACTTGCATGCCAAAGCATTCCCCTCCAGTGCTGCAGTGTCAATGCTCCCCCTCAGTCAACAGCACTTCTATGTTCTCCCGTCATCTTGCAGCTTCACAGTTTTTGGCCTCTTTATTGGCTGGGCCAGGAAGATACAACTCCTGCACATCTGCACCAGAAGTACTTTGTCAAGACACACGAGCTCACAGGCTGCATAAACCGCAGCACCTCCCTGCCTCCATACCCAGGGATGTCATTGCTAGGCTGCACTACTACCATGTAAAAGAGAGACTGCTAGCTCTGACCAAACTCTCAGCCAGCCTGCCTGACCCCTATTCTCACATCTCACTCAACTCTGATATATCAGCAGCCACCGCATCAAAAAGGAGGGAATTTGCTCCGATTACCTCATCTCTCAGAGAGAACAAGATCTTATACAGATGGGGCTTCCCTACGTAATTACTGGTTACATATCAAAATAAAATCCTCCCTATCCTGACACCTCTGGATGGCATAGATATGCTCCGCTCCTGGGGCCTCACAATCTCCATACCTGCTCCTACAGTGCAACGTAAGACCCCACAGCATGTGGTGGTGGACTGGTCTGTGCACTGAGCTTTTCATGCACTAGACTCGCATGAGTCTTTTCAAGCCCACTAAGTGGCGCCTCTACCACATATCAGGATCTGTAAGCTGAAGTTTGTGTGCCTTTTTTTTTTTTTCCCACACACCCCTGGTTAATTGTGTGCTACGCACACTTTTCGAACTATGTTATTGCAATGTTTATTGCTAAGTTCTTGTTTTTATTGGTATGTTATTATTTTCCTTACAACACAGCTATGTATTACCTCTGATTGCCATTATATACCTGACATTTTATACCTTACCTTTTTAATGAAACATCTGGTTTCTTTCACAATGTCTTTACTACTATCTTTACCTACCAAGACACCAGTATGATGATGTTTCAGTGCCGCTGCAATCTCTTTCAGTGTCCCTCCCAGGCTCATTTTCTACACCTTTTTATAAATAATTATGGCGGTTAAGATTAGCTCTCTGAATGTGAAAGGACTTAATTGTCCGTTTAAACGAGCCATGCTATGGAAGGAAGCTGCATCTCTGAATTGTGACATATTACACACCTCAAAAAGGAGAACCCCCCCTGAGTTGCAAAACCAAAAATTTTACTCACTACCTCTTTGCAAACTCAGATACTAAACGCAAAGGTGTGATGATAGCCATTAAACGCACTGTCACTTTTCTACAACATGATTTATTGATTGACCCAAACAGTAGATTTATCATACTTGTGTCCTCCTTGAATAATCGATTAGTGACACTGGTTAACCTTTATGCTCCACATGACCGCCAAAAGAATTTTTTTGTGACCCTAATGAATAAAATTAATAAGATCCGTAAGGGACACTTGATCCTATGTGGAGATTATAACGCAATTGTGGACGATGATCTGGACACTTCAAATGTGAAACGACGACCCAATAGACTCCTAAACACTTTCTTCCGTAATAATGACCTGCATGGAGATGTATGCACGGCACTGAAAAAGACTGCACATACTTTTCTCACACTCAAAGCTCATACTCCAGACTGGATATGTTTTGTGGTTGACAAATACACGCTACAACATGCATCTAATGCAGAAATAGGCCTCATTACCACATGATATCCAACCAGGTCCTACTGCCTGTCGTTTATAGCTACCCTCACCGATTTCGTCCCCCTAGCGAAGCCTTTTCCTAAAATGTAGACTGAAAAAGTTTCTTTGACCTACACTTGCTGGTACAAGTCTCTTTCTAACAGTGTACCATATACTGAGTAGTTTTACTTTGAAGTCTAATTTACATTCGGGTAATATGGTAAATTACATAGACCCTTTCCATAGTCTTGTCCTTCCCTCCCCCTACATGTTTAGCTCCCTATCCTTATCCCCTACCAGATAATGAAAGTATCTAAAGCGCAGTTCATACCTCATACCTGTTGAGGGATAGGCATGGTACTCTATGCCTTCCTCTCTCTCTTCCTCTCTTTCCTATTTATTTTTGTTATTTTATGTCGCATTCCTTATACCGAGGTGTAGGCCTGTTTCTTTCCACTGACTAGCGTATTGAGATGACTGTTTGTACATGCAGGCTGATAAGTCCTCTGACACTACCGACCTTACTGTTATGTCGACATGTGTATTCAACCTACTGTTTTGGACTCTGTATGCACCTGCTCTTTATACTTAATAAAAATATATTGTTAAAAAAAAAAAAAATTGTGCTTAGACTGTACACTGAGCTGTGCGGGTCAATGTAAAGGAAAAGGAGCTGACGGCCAGGTTGAACCATCTGACAGAAGAGAAAGTCTATTCTGTCATTAAAATAAAGACTGTCTGTCACCATTTTTTTTATAAGGACTTGACTTCCACTTTAAGAGGAATTTGTGATATTGGTCAAGTTGCGGTGCTTGATAGACAGCAGTAACAGGTCACACCTTGCTTTTACTTGTTGCCTCAGACCCTTAAATCCTATTTGCCTTTCTTCTATAACTTTCCAATCAATATTTTTTTTTACACCAAAACTGTCTTTTTATTTTTTATATTCTCCATGTTTTATAGATTGTCGTTTCTTAGAACAATGAAGGAAGATACGGGAGTTCGCTGTTTTCAGGTTGTCCTCATCATTGGCAATGTGGTAATTGGGGTAAGTAGCCTTGTGTTCTATCCTCCATCAGTGCTGTAGGTATGGATAGGGCATATTTGTTGTGGTCTGGGTCAGTAAGTCTCTGGGGAAGCAAGCTGTGCCTTGCTCATTTTTAAAGGGACAAGTCTACTCAAATATATAATAAAATGTATATGTGATAAATATTATATTTATCATATATTAATATTATAAATGCTGGTGGGATAAGTTGGTCCTTGGCTTTTTGTATGATTGGGATACTCCAACACTGAGATCCCCTTGTCATAATTCCCAACCTTGTTCTGTCCACCTGGAAGTTTTGGATGTGTCCACCCACCTTTTGTATGTTCCCAGCTCCTCCTGTTACATCATCCATAATATAAAGTCAATAAAGATCCAGCAAGCGGAGTGAAACCCCTTCTGATGGCCACAGCTGGTATGCAGACCCAAGAACTCGAATATTGAAGTATCACTGCGTTAGGTGGACTTACCCATGTTCTTTCTCTGTACTCTTCCAGAAACAAAGTAAAAGCTGTTTTGCATTCCATGTCCTTCTGTTTCAAAAGATTCTTTGAAATTAAATAAAGTAGATATGTTTTTAACCTATTTGTGATCAGGGTTCTTATAATCTGGGTACCCCTAGTTCTCTGCCTTAATGTTAACCAATGCCTGAAGGATTTGAATAGGCATATTGCAGTCCTGATGTGGCTAAAACAAATTTTGGTCTCACTGTTCCTCTCTGTGCCCCCCAGCTTGCAGGTCTCGCCCTGACAGCAGAGTGCATCTTCTTCGTGTCGGACCAGAACCGCCTCTACCCATTACTTGAGGCCACTTCTAATGATGACATCTTTGCTGCTGCCTGGATTGGGATCTTTACTGGCTTCTGCTTCTTTCTGCTCTCCATCCTGGGCATTATTGGCATTATGCAATCCAACCGGAGGATGTTAATGGCGGTAAGTGCTTTTGGTTGGTTGAATGTCAAGTTTGCTTATTTTGATCCTTTTTTTTTTTTGTATTTTTTTTTTCCCCCAAACTGGGCGCTGACTCTCAAAAGCCCATTATCCACCAACCCCCAATCTTGTAGCTTATCTCGAAACAATGGTGACCCAAATTGCAGGCTGCCTTTCTCTTGGTCATGGCATAGAATGATGTCTGTATGCTTTGAAGTGGCTTCTGTGGTCATAAGGGTCATATGTTGCATGCGAAAATGGAAGCGTAGTGCTGGGACCCTCGACTATTGCTATAAGCATTCTAGTAGTATTTAGAAACCGTATCTGGGTTTTGGAATGGCAGCGTCTCCATCTCAAAGCATTTCCACGGTTTTTCTTGGGTTTGTAAGTGAATATGAGATTGAAGCTACACACCGGGACATAATCGTCAAGCTGTACATTTATTCCAATATCTATCAATCTAATCATATTGTCTTTGTTTTGTTTTTCTTATGTAGTATTTAATCCTGATGTTCATAGTCTATTGCTTTGAAGTGGCATCTGCAATCGTTGCAGCAACACACAGAGACTTTGTAAGTATGGATATGGTTCTATTTGGAACAATTTACCAGGGACACTTCGCTTATAATAAATGTGAACTGTAATCTTGGTGGGAGGTTTATATGGCTGCTTTTCACCAGCATGCTGTACCAGTAGAGGTCAATCAAGAAGATGAGATGAACTCTCCTGATCATTGTCTGAAATATAGGCCTGTCAGAGCCTTTGTTTATAAAGTTTCCGCAGGCAACAGGTAGAGAATGTATTACACCTGCTTTCCTCATTTCAGCAAGCAACCCCAGCATCAGCCTGACTGGAGATTTCTGCTGGTGTGCCCAGGAGGCACTGGGGGGAAGCGAAGGTTTTGATGCACATAACAGCATGATCTACTTTGTTGACAAGTGCCAAAATATTACGCTTGGGTAATCTCAAGTAGTGTTGAGATTCAAATTTGGATCGGCAAAAAATTTGACCTGAATTTCCAGAACCGAAAAATCCATCTCCCTTGAAGTCGAGGGGGGCTGTATTCAACGGTCATCTCTAATGGAGGGTTGAAGACAAGCTATTCTCATGTGAATGGAATGGGAAGTCCTCCAATGAATGTTTTTGGATGTAGTGTCTTGTCACTTGAGATGTTCAGAAAATAAGTGTGAAAATGGCACCTTGTAAAGTCTGGACATAGGAGATGCATCCTAAAAACGTTGACTTTTTTTAGGACGTATCTCTAGCGGTCCAAAGCCTCCATGGCTAAGGAATAACTTTTCCGTACAAAATCTCAAAGTGTATTTAAAGTCCAAATTCTATATTTTTTTTTTTTTTTTTATCCCTGTTGGGGAGCTTTCCCTTCATTTCCTGTCTTGTTGACACAACAGGAAGTGATGGGAAATCTCTCCCAAAAAGAAAGAAAATCCCTTAGACATTTGGGAACTTTGTCAGTGGCTTGGAAGTACACGGAGAAGGAATTTTGATTTTATGACTTTTTAGCATACATGGTTATAGATTAGTGACTTGAAATAGTCAAGCCAATGACAGCCAGGTAACTAGCATTTAGGAGGTCTGCAATGAACATTCGGTAACTCTTAAATTAACTTGGAGCTCCAGCTGCCACTGTACGCATTATTCTCATTCTTCTTATTAAAAGCAGAAGATATACAAATCGTATTTGGCAGCTCGTGTTCTTGCTAAAACATTGTTTAATTTTATTTATTTTCAGTTTACTACCAACCTATTCCTGAGCCAAATGTTGAATTTGTACCAGAAAACCGATGGCAATAGTGACGAGAAGGCTAAGGCCGATGGAGTGACCACAACATGGAATTATCTCATGCTTATGGTAACATTGATTCTCCTGCTGAACTGAATTTTGTTGTATCACCGGCGTTCTTGCTATGATATAGTCACTTTTAAAATTGCCTGAGCATTCCTGTAAAGTTAACTCTTATTAATGGCACATTTTGATGCCACGGACATTCCATAAGGCAAAATGCCCTCTGAAGCTCCAATTTGTTAAAAGTCAGGTGCAAGACTTTGCCCAGTCAGGGATCAGTATTGAATTAGGGCCATGATTGGGCAAAGTCATGACTCTGCCCAATCATGGCCTGCCTAATCATGGCCTGCCTATCAGATGTCGGTAAACTACACAATTGGGCGGAGCTAGCTGTGACAGCTAGCTCCGCTCAATTGTGTATGTTTTGCCGGCATCTGACAAAATGCCATTATGAGGCGCGGAGCGGATGGGACGGCGGGTTTGTTTAAAAATTATTTCTCTATTTTATTTTTTTATTTAGTCGTTGTCGTGGACAACACTGGATGCTGTGATTTGATCCTGGATTACGTTGGTGGATTTTTTTTTAATTTTTTTTTTTTTTTTTACATACGACTTGTCAAAAACCACGTCTTTTTGTTTTTTTTCCAAATGAGTTTATCAAAAGTCTGGACTTTTTAATTTATTTAACCCTTTAGTGAATGGGTAGGGGTACCCCTTACTCATTCACAAGGGAGGGGGGTGGCACCTGGGTGCCCCCTTAATTAAAGGGGTACCCTGATGCAAATAAGCCCCCTTGCCCGCAGACCGCCCACAACCACCGGGTCAGGGTTGTGGGGACGAGGCCCTTGTCCCCATTGGCACGGGGACACCCTCCCAGTGCCGAGGGCATGTGGCCGGGTGTGGGTGGGTCTGGCCCTGCCAGGCCTATGCTCAGATCAAGTGTCTGGTATGGAATTTTAGGGGGATCCCATGTTTTCCCCCCATTTTTGGGTGGGGTTCCTCCCTAAAATTCCTACCAGACCTTAAGGGCCTGGTATGACTTTAAGGGGGAACTCCACGCACTTCTTTTTTTCTGTTACATGGGGTCCTTCCTAAATATTCCTACCAGATCATAAGGACCTGGTATGACCTTTAGGGGGAATCCTACACAGTTTTTTGTTTTTTTAATTGGTCCCTCCTAACATTTCTACCAGACCTAAAGGGTCCGGTATTGTTTGGGAGGGGGAACTGCACACTTTTAAGAGAACAAAAAAAAAAATATATTTTTTTTTCTTTAGAAATGTTAGTTTTGCTGCAGCAGGTTCTATACATCCTACAGATCCGCCACTTCACAGGCAGGTTAAGGGGACCCCCACAGGCACGATATGTGAAGGAATTTTTCATATTTTTTTTTTACCCTTTAAGTGATGTTAAAAATCACTGCTCTTTTAAAAACTGTATTTTTTGGGGGGCATTGATTCTGGTCCCCCAGGGCAGTACCGGGACCCCCCATACACCATTTATGGCCATTAACTTGCATATAAGCCCTCTTAAAGGGGACATTAATTTTTGAACGTTCATCCCTAACCATGTGGGCCTGTTATGATAAGCCAAGCCTGGCAGAAAAATTCCTTTTTGCTTCTAGAGTATAATTGGTGTAATCGCTGTCACCTGAGTGGGAGAAGAGGGGGGGAGGGATTTTTTTTGTTTGTTAATTACAATGTTCTGACACTCTGAGACCAGCTCAAGCATTGCAAAAAAAAAAAGTCATAACTGAATAAAGTTGCCATTCCCTTTGCAGAGGCAGTGCTGCGGTGTGAACGGTCCCAACGACTGGCAGGATTATAACTCAACGTTCCGGATCACCAACAGTGACTCCGCCTTCCCCTGGCCACAGCAGTGCTGCGTCATGACTAATCTAGCACAACCTGTGAACGTTCAAGGATGCAAGCTGGGCATTTCCGGATACCTCAATCTAAACGTAAGGATCTACTCACCATAAATGCCACAAGACTGCTTTAAGGATGGTCAATATGCAACAGGCATGCGCTGCTACCTGGTAGTTATAAAGGGGCGACTATTTCCTTGCTCCTTTACACTTCTTTAGGGCATCAAAGTGTTCGTTGGCATTTTATGACGCATGTTGGAAGTGCAAAGCAAAGTGCATGGTAGTGTGCATCTCCTCGCCTTTACATTCATTTTGATGTATTTGCCCCAAATTTATTTTTGCTCACTTGTATCCAGCTCAGTGCAATGTATACACCGAAAAGTTTTATACTCCATTAAGAAGAGGATATATCTTGTCCATCCTTGTTAGTGGGTTTGGCTACTGCCTACCAAGACCCAATAACCACGAGGGGTACAAACCTTCATAGAAACTAGGGATGTTCAGATACCAAGTACCGTACTCGGTACAAGTGCCGATCCTTTTCGAGCTCCAAGACTAGACTAGAGAAAAATTCAATAGTTAGGAGGCCGCTGTCATTTGTAAGGAGCACACGGAGCTCCTGGGATTTGTACATCTCTGTTTTAATGTATAATTTTGTTTTTATAAATGTAAATAAAGGGATGCACCGATCCCAGTTTCCCAGTCCCAGTGCAAGTACAAGTACTGATACATTTTTGTTGTCATGTGACAGTTTTTCCAAAACAATACAGACTAATGATTTCAGGACAGTGGTAGAGCGCCAGAGCCCGGTCCCAGCTGCAACCCTGTTAGTTCTCATGAAAATGCCAAGTATCTGCACTGGTACTCAAAGTATCAGTGCATCCCTAATAGAAACCCATCTGGCATAATGCCACTCCCGGAAAACATCGGTGATGGGGATAAGCAGATCACTTTCCACCAAAACTGGATTTGCTGCAGATCAGGTCAACCTAGATTAAGCAGAGATTTGTCACAGATTGCTATTACCACTGGGCTAATCTCTCTTTTTGTGAAGCAGTTCACTTAGTGGTCACCATTTTGTAGGAAGCCTAAACTTGGAGTTTCTTGTAGTAGAGAATCAACCCCCCCCCCCCATACACCTTGCTGCCCTCTGGGCAACAGTGAGTAAGACCCCTTGAAGATCAAACTTTTACTAACTAGTAAATGGCACAGGGTTTGTGAGACTTTACCCCAATAAGAATTGTAAGAAATGCAATACTACATCTTATTGGGGTGACGATGTCCCAGGGGGATGGAGAATCCTACACCACATTGGCCTATTGCCCCTATTATGTAGTCTCCAGTGTGTGTGTGTGTGTATGTGTGTCACACTTCTTAAATATTCTTTTTCCCATTGCCTCACATAGAAAATCTAAAAACGGCATTTTCTTCCTCTTTTCATAGGGCTGTTACGACTGGATTGGTGGCCCATTGAATCGCCATGCCTGGGGTGTTGCATGGTTCGGATTTGCAATTCTGTGCTGGACGGTAAGTCTCTCTCTGTGATATAAGAACTTTTTTTTTTTAATCTCACAAGAATTAATGAGCATCTGTTGTGTCGGTGAAAGTGATTTGCTACAGAGTTGTCTGTTGGGGGCAACGGGCTTCTTTTGCATCTAAATCTTTTATTGGAAGGGTTGCTTATGTAAGGATGTTGTGGAAGTTTGTAGTAGTAGTAGAAGGGTTGGGTGCCACTTAGGCTTATCTTTCAGCAGCTGAGAACATGACTGTCACACCTTTGTGGCCTAACCTGTTTTGTTAAGGTGACAAGCACACCGTATGGAGGAACAAAGGGGTTTATTAGATCATAAAGTTGACCTTCCAATGGTAATCCCTGAAGGCTACAGATTGGTGTCTACATCATTCTCCTTTTACAGCATCATTAGCACAGTACAGGTACTCTGTAGAGACTAAGCCCAGTCTGATATGATCTAGCAGCTCTTGTAGGATGTTGATGGACTGAATAAAAAGCTGGCTTCTCATTTATCTGCGGACAGCACTGGTGAGGTCTCCTGGTCTTCTGCTGTATCCTCCATGGAAAGTTTATATATCATGCTATACTTCAACACTTTTTTTTAAATGGCATCGCCTAGAAAATCCTGTGCCAGTCCGCAAGATCAGGGCACTGTTGAGGAGTGGGAGGGGGGGGGGAGGTGGGTTGCCGCATCCTCCCATAGAAAGTTTTTTACATATCATGCTATACTTCGACACCCTTAAAATGGCTGAGCTAAGGACTGAGAGTGGGAAATCCTGCGTCGGTCCTCAAAAGATCAAGGCCAGTGTTGGCAGAGGAGGCTAAATGGGCGATTGCCTAGGGCTCCCAGTGCTCTAATGGCCCCATTACAACAGCAGTATTTTAGTATTACAGCTGTACTCATTCACTGCAGTGCTGAAATTCATAATGTCCAAAGGCTTCCAGTTACCAGGTGTATCTGTAATGCTGTGTACGTGCTTCTCCACTATGTGTCTGGTATGGATCCTATGGCTTCCTTTGCAGTTCCATCATTTGACTGAGTCTATTGCACGCAGAAGTCAGATGTTGGATTGCATATACTATAAATATTTCACTGTGCCACCAATGATTTTTGAATGTATGCGTACATCACTGTGTCATTGATTTACCTGTCCTTGGCACCCCAACCCTGAAAAAACATTAATACAAAATTGTGTTGTCATTCAAGCTGCCGACATTAAAGTGTCCCATTTTTTATGTTACCCCCTAAAGTGAGTCTGTCAAACTTCTTCTTTTTTTTGCCAATTATTATTATTTATTTATTTATTTGTAATCCTTTAGTTCTGGGTGCTGCTTGGAACCATGTTCTACTGGACCCGAATTGAATATTAAAACCCGCTGCCGCCTTCTCTGCTGTCTAGAAAATGTTTGACGAAAGACCCGCCATCACAAGGCCAATATGGAAGACCGGAGCTACATAACCCCTCAAACCCTCCGGATACTTGTTCTGACTAATGAAATATTGGCCAAAGGACTTTGTGGTTTGTGGGGGGAGGGGGACAAGGGTTACTCTACGCTGCCCATCACACGATATAGAAACTTCCATTTTAGGAGTCTTCTGTCAACCTAATTGTAAATTTTTTGGCTTTTTTTTTTTTCTTCCCCTGTGTATGTATATGTATATATAATGCAGAAAAGTAAACGCACATGTCCAAAATTAGGTACCTGATGACGTCTGGAAGCTGCGAAAAGTAGGATTTAGATATATATGCATTTTTTTTTTTTTTCCTATATTGCAAGACAATAAAACCTTGGCTACAAGAGCAATTTTAAATCATGCCATTGCATGGCCAAAAACAATCTAGGGCCGATCACAGAAAATCCCATAATGGCTTGCTAGGTGTGGGAAGCCTATCATCACTCTTAGGCAATGGGCAACTTACAGATGCCAACGCCCATTTTGGTCATCTGATGTAGCAAATGAACTCTATTTGCTATGGGCCTCTCGCCTGCGGTGATGGCTTCTATCATCTGACAACCTATAGTGTAGGCCTCAAGTCATCAGGACAGTTTTTGTATGATGCAAAATATGATTTTGTTGCCCAGGCTTTAGGGGAAAAAACTCACGCGGTTCTCACAACAGTGTTCAAATTGCATTCGCCGATCATTGTGGACGCTTCTGGTGCACTGAAGATTGAGTTTGCTGTATGTTCTACGTTAATTATATGATAAAGGTCACCAGCGCACCTATGGTGCTAGTGACCTTTATCATATATTTCAAGATGCACGGCGCCATCCGTGGTTACTACAGCACCCTCCTTTTATACATGGGGGTTCCGGTAAGGAGTGCAGCAGTTCCTCTCCAAGATTGTGTTCTAAGTTAATGGAACAACTGCGTAATGAGAGTAGAAGCTCCAGCCACACACACTGCTTGGAAATATGGTGGCTTGGAGATACTCTACCCATCCATCTCCTCATGCTTTCCACTCCTACTTGACTCTATGATTAAGCGCTAGTAGGGGTCAAAACATGTCAGGAGGGACGGGTGGGGTGTCTCTTCCATCCGTGGTTACTACAGCACCCTCCGTTTTATACATAGGGGTTCCAGAAAGGAGTGCAGCAGTTCCCCTCCAAGATTGTGTTCTACGGTAATGGCACAACTGCGTAATGAGAGTAAAAGCTCCAGCCACACACACTGCTTGGAAATATGGTGGCTTGGAGATACTCTACCCATCCATCTTCTCATGCTTTCCACTCCTACTTGACTCTATGATTAAGCCATTGTAGGGGGTCGAAACATGTCAGGAGGGATGAGTGGGGTGTCTCTTCCACTTGTCGTCAAACAAAGTGCAGCTCTATGTCATTTTAAACCATTTTGGAGTCGAGGGAAGGTGACCTTGCCACCTTCAATCGGCGAATGACCGGGAGCTTTTGAATGGCGGCCTTGACCATAGCATTATATATTTTGTGACTTCTGTGAATAAATCTGTATATGTTCCCATTATAGACCAGCTCCGCCCCTTTAATTAGACATAAGTACAATGTGCAAACCTTAAGGATCCTCACTGCATGGCACTAGAGGCCATGGAGAGCCTCGGCCACCGTGCGTCCAACCAAAAGGTAATCGTTCGCTTTTCCGAAGGCAAAAGCTGATTTGGTTGGTTGTTGTAGGTCACTGTATATCACGCCATAAAATAAAGGCCCATTTTTGTTTTTCTTTTTAAATGTTTATCACCCATTTGTATCTTCTGTGGTATACAGTATTTTAATTTCCGTTTTTTGTCTTTTTTTTTCTTTTTAATATTCGATTAAAGTTTAAGAACTCTGCCTGTTTTTTCGTATTTTTTTTACAGCTGTGTTTATCGTTTGCTGTGTTTTTTATGTTTCATATTTTGACAAATTGTTGATTTTGAGGTTTAATGGCAACTTGACCTAAAATGCAAAGGCTCTCCTGATTTAAAAAAAAAAGAAAAACTGGCTGTATAATTATTTATTTTGTTATACTGTATATAGTTGCAAAGGTAAGCAACTCTGCCACAGGACAGGAAGTAAGGGGAAATCTTCCCAGTGCCTCTTTCTTGTTCTAGTAATCAAGGTGTTTCTGGTGCCACTTTGAGAAACTCTCTCCAGAGCATACACATGGCAATAAAATCTGATGGGAGTTCCCTTCTCACTACCCAGGGTGACATTAAAGTCAAAAGGTTTATAAGCTAATTCAAATGCTGATTAAATCACTTACAATGGATGCCGTTCCTTGATGAAGTTTTTTAGGGGTCTATTCACGAAGCTGCCGAAGGATCTGGCCGTAGCTACGGCCCCAGGACCCCTTCGGTTCAGTAGAACCGAAGGGGTGCTGTACAGGCTATTCACAATAGCCCGTACAGCTCCCGATCATGGGCGAGTGGCTGAGCCGTGCTGAAAGCCGAAGCTTTCTCAGAGAGATCAGCGTCCCTGGTTACCTGCTAACCAGGGACACTGATCTCCAAACAGCTAACTCTCCCTGGCGCCCCGGGAGTCTCCTGCTCCCGGCTGCCAAGGAGAGAAACAGGGCTGTGTCTTTTTTTTTCTTTATTCTGACACGGAGCCATGTCAGAATAGAAGAAAAAAAAAAAATCCCATCGAAAAGCATTGGGACATTACTATTGGCTATTTCAAATTGCAATAGCCAATAGTAAACTAGCACTAGCTAGCCTAATAGTAAATTAGCCATACCAGCCTGAAGTGAAAAGCCGAACAGTGTTCGGCTCACTTCACTTCAGTCATTCACTCGGCTGCCCTCGGGAGCTTCGTGAATAGACCCCTTAGTTTCCTCCAGAATCAGCTGGTCCCCTGCGCACTGGCCCTGATATCCTGTTTTTAGGGTGGCTCCTTTCCCTTGCAGGTTCCTATGGAGCCACCCGTGTGTGTGCTCCCGTGTGTGTGTGTTTAGTAAGCTGTGTGTCTCCACAAATACAAAAGGCGCAGCAAGGCTATCCTGCTCCCTTCTCCAAACTAGTAGATGAACAGCTGCTCTGTCCCTTGTGATCTTGTACTGAACAGGAAGTTGAGGGCAGCCGAGCTGAGAGAGTTGGAGCTGTCTGGAAACACGACGACTGTAAGTGCTTTTGGAAAAAATATATAGAAATACTTTGCTGGGTGATTGTATATTTGTTTCATCTGAATCGTTATTGAGAAAACATTTGGAGGTTACTACTGCTGTTATAATTCACAGGGCCCCTATAGCAAAATGATCTCTCTCTGTGACTCCTGGCAGCGCTATCTAATAAAATGAATGTAATTGGTAGGTGGTCAGCCCCAGGAGAGCTGTCACCGTAATCAGTACAATATCACTGAGAAGAGCCGAGGACAGAATTGTCCGAGGAGAGCCGCAGAGCACAGAATTATCTCATGAAGAGCAGCAACCTGTCCTTCCACCCGAGCCGGCGACGGATGAACATTGTGGTTTGGCAAACCAGCAATTAGTTTAATTTTATATTCTCATATAATTCTCGGCGCTCAATCACTCCAAACCATTAACCTGTCGCATGTATTATCACTTGTTAGTTGTACACGGGAATGTTTATACCGCAGGAGTGCTGTAAGGGTTAATGGCCTGGGTGACCGGGAGCTCTGGAGGTAACACATCTACTCCCAGATGGGGGGCAGCGAGGGGGACCTGTAAGTAATGGACGGCTCAGGATCAGAGATAAAGATAAGGTACTGGATCTAGAGTTTTCACCAGTCTGGGATTCGCTCGAACGGTCCGGGTTTCAGGCCAGCTGACACCCGGGCACAAGACACTAAGTGCCGATGCCAGCACTTTACATTTTTTTTACAGATGCGGCAGCCTGAGGTCCCTAGCACATCTCCTTCTTCCTGACAGCACGCTGCCCGCCTCTGGACCTCTGGACTTCCTGCACATCATTCCTCAGAGCCTGCATAGCCCACCTGAGACACCACATAGCCACTTGAGAGCTCACCTGAGAGGCTGCATAGCCCACCTGAGACACCACACAGTTACTTGAAAGCCCACATAGCCCACCTGAGAGCCTGCATAGTCCACCTGAGATACCACATAGCCCACCTGAGAGCCTGCATAGCCCACCTTAAACCCCACACAGCCATGTGAGAGCCCACATAGCCCACCTGAGAGCCTACATAGCCCACCTTAGACCCCACACAGCCACGTGAGAGCCTACATAGCCCACCTGAGACACCACACAGCCACGTGAGAGCCCACATAGTCCACCTGAGATACCACACACAGCCACCTGAGCATCCGCATAGCCCACCTGCGACACCACACAACCACTTGAGAGTCTACATGACCCACCTGAAAGCATGCAGAGGCCACCTGAGACCCTGGTGACATCAAGGCACCACCCCGGATTAACACAGAGTATGTAGCTTTATATAATTTTGTATTGCTGTATCATGCATTGCTGGGAATTGTAATCCCCTACAGCTGGTCTCCTTACTCCCTCCCCTGGCTGCCTCTCCTTCGCTCTCTCCTCTGAATTATCCAAACAAATTTTCCACCCTTTTTGATATTTGCATAACTCCTATCAAGATCCTGCCCACTGCTTGCATCGGGGCTGAGAGCTCTTGAAAGAAGTACTGAGGTAGGGTTCTGTGATGTTATGTACAGCACCCTGCGGGCCCCTCCCCCCCCCCTCCCCAGCAATGCATTGTCTGGAGAAGCACAGAGACCCAGTGATGTTGTCTAAAATATGATATGTCATGAAAACTGGTTTTATTTAAACATTTCATTCGCATGTTAATGAGGACAGGAAAGGAGGAGCCAGGGAAGGCAAAATATAAGCAGAATAGACTTTAGCATTAATGAATATGGCCCTCTAAAGATGTTCAGGAGGACCGGACCACCTGGGTACTTTTCAGTTCATATGCCTCAGACAATGTCCCTTTGCTATGTGAAATCTCCCACGTCCCAAAATATATGTCCCGTACCCAACCCATAAACCCCCCCCCGGCCCAGCGTT